TATACTGCCCAATCCTTATGTAGTTATATCTGAGCAAATATAACAACTATAAACCGAAGGAGACATAAGCAAAGGTCTGACAGTGCAAGTGATCTTTATCAGGACTGTATCTGTTTGAACTCTATCAGCCCCCAACACAGCCAATTTGGGTCTGTGCCAATCTGGGTACGAACACCAATATATGGCCACAACACAATTCAGCTGAATTTACATTCCTCGGAGAACAGGTTGCCATCATAACCAAAGGAATTCCCTCAGATTCATTCTGTAACACATTCCCAACCAGGCAAAGACGGTCATTGTTTGTGGCCCTGCCCTGAGCTCTCTCACAGGCAGCGGCCCTCACTGGGTTAGATTAAGCAGCAATTTGCTAAATTACCCGCAGCCACAGAGATGACAAAATCTTCATGATAGCAGTGAATCTAGACTCCATGCAGAGTGAGTATTTTATTTTAGCTCTCTTTAAAAATATACATTTTCCCTCCCTTCATCCAGAGTGAACTTAGGTCAGACATTCACTGGGGGGGGTGGTGGGGGGGGAAGCTTTGAAACAACAACAACAAAATTCCATGTGTAAAGCGCCTTTCATGTCGGGAGGACGTCTCAAGGCGCTGGATAGACAGTTACGGTCCCAAGCTGAGAGTTGGGGTGGGGGAGGGGGGGGCAGTGGGGGAGGCAGGGAGATCAAAAGCACGGTCGAAGAGGAGGGTCTTGAGGTGGGTATTGAAGATAGCGAGGGAGGGGGCGAGACAGAGGGACTGCAGGATGGCATTCCAGAGGGTGGAGGCAGAGTGGCGGAAGCCCCGCCCGCCGATAGTGGAGCAAGCAAGGCGGGGGACGTGAAGCAGGCCGGAACCCCCTGAACGGAGGGAGCGAACAGGGTGGTTAGGGGTTAGGAGGTCGCAGAGGTCGGGAGGAGCAAGGCCATGGAGGGCTTTGAAGGCGAGCACCAGGATCTTGAACTGTATTCTCTATGTGATGGGAAGCCAGTGGAGTCGGGCGAGGATGCGGGTGATGGGTCACGGAGCCTGGTGCGGGAGAAGACACAGGCTGCAGAGTTCTGGATGATCTGCAGACTGTGGAGGGGGGATTGAGGAGGCCGACAAGCAGTGAGTTTGCATAGTCGAGTAATGAAGGTGTGTATGAGGGTCTCATGGACCTGCGGTGTGAGGCAGTGTTGGAGCCGGGTGACGTTGCGGAGGTGGGGAGGGCAGAGCGGGTCATTGCACAGATGTGGGTAGAAAGGATAGTTGAGGGTCAAACCAGACCCCAAGGTTCCAGACCAGCTCAGTGAGGGGGAGTGAGCCCCATGGATGGTGATGCTGTCAGCGCCTGAGGTGAGGAGGTGCTGACGGGAGCCAATCAGGTGCCTCGGTCTTGTTGACGTTCAACTGAAGAACATTACCTCTCATCCAGGACCTGATGTCTGACAGACATTGTGTCAGGACAGCAGTGGGTCCTGGAGTCCAGGGTGGGGGCAGAGAGGGAGAGTTGGGTGTCATCCGCATACATGTGGGAGTTGACCCCATGTCTGCGGATGATGTCACCAAGAGGGAGAGTGTAGATATTGACGAGGAGGAGACCAAGGACAGAGCCCTGAGGAACACCACACGAGACGGTGCGGGGACTAGAGGAGAAGCCGTCTGAGGAGATGAAGTGCAGGGGGTGTGAGAGGTACGATCTGAACCAATCAAAGACAGAGTCGTGGAGGTTGAGGTGGGAGGAGAGGCAGTGGATGAGGATCGAGTAGTCGACGGTGTCGAAGGCAGCAGAGAGGTCAAGGAGGACGAGGAGGCAGAGGGAGCCCTGGTCGCAGATGGACAGAACGGCATTGGTCACTTTGACCAGGGCTGCTTCTGTGCTGTGGGCGGTACGGAAACCCGATTGGAGGGGTTCATGAAGGGAATGACGGGAGAGGAAGGAGCGAAGCTGAGAAGCAACAACTCATTCCAGGACCTTGGAGAGGAAGGGGAGGTTGGAGATGGGGCAGTAGTTAAGGAGTAGAGAAGGGTCCAGGGAGGGAATTTTTAAAGATAGGAGTGATGACGGCGGTTTTTAATGGGGTGGGAGCAGTACCAGAGGTCAGGGTTAATGATGTCAATGAGTAGAGGAGCAAGGAGCTGGAGGTAAGGAGAGAGGTAGGGATGGAGGTGAGTGAGCAGGTGGTGGGTTTCATACAGGTTATGGTGGTGATGAGAGAGGGGGAGACAAGTTCAAAGGTGTGGAGGGAGGGAAGGGGTGGGTAGGGAGTCGGGTGGGAGGAGGAGATGGGGAGGGGATAGCAGATGCAGTGGCAGAGGCAGCTGAGCGGATTCCCTCGACTTTGGATTCGAGGAAGTCCAGCATCGTCTTGCAGCTGGCATTTGAGGTGAGGATGGGTGAGGCGTGAGAGGGTGGGCAGAGGAGCCGGTTGGTGATGGAGAAGAGAAGCCTGGGGTTGTCCTTAGCCTCCAAGATTGTCTTGGAGTAGAACGACGATTTAGCGGAGGTGAGGGCGGAGCGGTAGGATTTGATATGGTCCAGCTAAATCTGCCGATTAGGTTTGATTTAAGCCAAGTGAGCTCAGCGGTTTTAAGGGAGCAGACGTGGCTGGTGTACCGAGGTGATTTGCGTGAGTAGGAGACAGTTCAGGAAGAGAGGGGAGCGAGGGAATCGAGAGTGTAGGAGAGGAAGCTATGGAGAAGGGTGATTGAGGAAGATAGGTCATTGCGGGAGGAAGCCCAGAGGGGAAGGAGTTCAAATGACTCCAAGGCAGCCGAGAGGGAGGGGGAGGTGGGGGGAGGGAGTTGGAGGGAAGAGTGGGGAGTTGGAAGGAGGAGGCGGGGGGAGTTGGCAGGAAGGGGGGGGGAGTTGGAAGGAGGGGGGGAGTTAGAGGGAGCGGGGGAGTTGGAGGGAGGCGGGGAGTTGGAGGGAGGAGGGGAGTTGGAGGGAGATGGGGGGAGTTGGAGGGAGACGGGGGGAGTTGGAGGGAGACCTGGGGAGTTGGAGGGAGACCTGGGAGTTGGAGGGAGACCTGGGGAGTTGGAGGGAGACCTGGGGAGTTGGAGGGAGACCTGGGGAGTTGGAGGGAGACCTGGGGAGTTGGAGGGAGACCTGGGGAGTTGGAGGGAGACCTGGGGAGTTGGAGGGAGACCTGGGGAGTTGGAGGGAGACCTGGGGAGTTGGAGGGAGACCTGGGGAGTTGGAGGGAGACCTGGGGAGTTGGAGGGAGACGGGGGAGTTGGAGGGAGACGGGAGAGTTGGAGGGAGACGGGAGAGTTGGAGGGAGACGGGGGAGTTGGAGGGAGACGGGGGAGTTGGAGGGAGACGGGGGAGTTGGAGGGAGACGGGGGAGTTGGAGGGAGACGGGGGAGTTGGAGGGAGGCGGGGAGTTGGAGGGAGGCGGGGAGTTGGAGGGAGGCGGGGAGTTGGAGGGAGGCGGGGAGTTGGAGGGAGGCGGGGAGTTGGAGGGAGGCGGGGAGTTGGAGGGAGGCGGGGAGTTGGAGGGAGGCGGGGAGTTGGAGGGAGGCGGGGAGTTGGAGGGAGGCGGGGAGTTGGAAATAGGAGGGGAGAGTTGGAGGGAGACGGGGGTAGTTGGAAGTAGGAGGGGAGTTGGAGTTGGAGGGCGGAGTTGGAGGGAGGAGGGGAGTTGGAGGGAGGAGGGGGGGGAGATCCAGACAAGAGGGACAGAATGGCTGAAATCTCGCCCATCGACAGTGAGGCTGGTAGGTCAGGGTATGAAGGATGGTATTTAGGAAAAGAACGGTTTACAGTCTCCCGAATCTGTCCATGGCCTCACCTCACCCTACCTCAGAGATTCCATGGCCGGGGAGGGGGGTCTCCGAGACCTCGGCCACATGGACGATTTACACAGAGAAATTCATATCACCTCATGAGAAGGCATATTCTTTACAAAAAGCCTTGCAAACATCAGTGTAAAGATTTCATCAGACCCAGTGCCAGTGTTACCTGGGCAGGCAGTGTCTGAACCAATTGTGTCACTTACCAAGTAAGGCAAACAGATTCAATAACAACTTTCAAAAGGCAATTGGAGAGGTACTTGAAGAGGAAAAATTTGCAAGGATTTGGGGTAAGAACGGGGGAGTGGGACTGATTGCGTAGCTCTTCCAAAGCGGCCATTCGGCCCATTGTGCCTGTGCGCAGACATGATAGGTTTTATGGCCTCCTTCTGTGCTATAATATTCTATGATTCTATAAATACAATTAGATACAACCCAAATGTTCATTTTAGCATTGAAGAGGTTCTGCTTCTGTCCTAAAAGGAGATATTGTTTTCTAAGTTTCTAGCAAACAAATGGAATTACATGAGTGGAAGTGAAAAAAAAACAAGATGTGTGCTGATCACTCCAAGGCCAAAATCCTGAACTCTTCCCTCCGCTGCGATCCCCAGTCAGAGGCAAAGATGTAGAGAAAACAGTGTGGGCAGGTCCTCCTCACAGCCCCATCAACCAATCTTTACACTGTCTCTTCTTGCACTAATAGCAGACAGACACCAGAGAGGAAAGCAAATGAAGGCTGCTGTATACAATCAGCATCACAAACAGCCAAACTTATACAGTGCAATATTGTCAGCAGTGCCAGGGGTTTCTCAGAAACAGGCTAATTTATCTGTTTGAGCAGTATGTGCCTTCAGGACATAATGTGCATCAACCAAATTCAATTCATGTCAGTTTGCTTTACACACAAAAAACATTATGTTGCTCGTAAGCATATAATACTCCATTTTTAAAACATTTGTTCAGAGAATGTACTTACGATGAGTGAGTAGGAAAATCACATATTTAGAAAAGTGTACTGTACGGCAGCAATTTGAATCAACAACATTAATGCTCCAATGTATCCTGTCTTGAAGCAAAAACAAACTGAAGGATGACAGTGATGATGCTTTCACTGGTTTTGAAAGTCATGCCAGTGGTGACTCCTGTTCTGAAGCCCAAAAATATGTCATTCTCTAAACACAGGTACAGAAGAAAACGCAGAGCTACAAGCAAAGCACTTACAGATTTTGTGTTTCCCTTTCATTGGGAATTTTACCAGCAGCTCCTGTGGGTTGGCACAAATGAAGACGAAAGGAGAACCAGACTCCTGATCTGTAAACTGAAAACAAATCACAGTCATTAGCCTTTCTTTTATAAGAAATGCTGGACAAAAAAACAGACCAAGGTCCACCTAGTTTGCCTTCCACTTTCCTAGCGGTCGCTTGACATATGTCCCGAACTCCCTATGTACTATATCCAATAATGTTATTTTCTACAAGAAAATGCTGTAATCTGTGTTTGTCTCTCTGGAGTTGGAGAGCCATGGAGGAGTGTCCTCTCCTGCACTGCTCATCCAGTGCAATCACACCTACACACCGAGTACTAACTGATTAACCCTCTCCCATAATAGAAAGAGGAAGGACCTCGATTGTGCCCCAAAGGAGAGTCACACTCTGCATTTGCAACTGGGTTTGTTCAGTAATATTTAGTGGTAAAAAGAGGATTAATTTAAAGCCACCTCCCAAACATGAACCAACACTACGGGTGGATAATCATCTGATCTTGATGGGAGGGCGGGTTCTGTAAACATTCACAAACACCTGGCAACGCAGTGACAGTTGATACACATATCCAGAACTGAGAAGCTCTGAAGACGGGATGTTCCATCTGCTTTTATAAACTGAGTAGTACATGTTCTAATGTCACAAGGTGTCTTTTCAGTTTGATTCGTCCAGACAATAACTGAGTATTACCCACAGGCTGCAGGTAGCACTTCATCTTACAGCAGCAAGTGTAAGTTTTATATATATATATATATAAAAAGATAATAATTTGGCCACTCGATCCACCACTGTTTGTGGGACAGGGCGAAATGTTGGGCAAGTTTCCTTAGTCCACACACTCTGTGTACCTAGCAGTAAGTAGGAATCCAGTTGTTAGTCAATTGGAGGATTGCTTTCTGCGGGCAATAATCCCTCAACTTTTTTTTTTTTAAAATGATAATTTGGTCACTCAATCCTTGGCTGTTTGTGGGACGCTGCTGTACGCAATTGGCTGCTGCGTTTCACCCACAAAATATACAGTCAATTCACTTTATAGTGTATTCTGTGAAGCGCTTTGAGACATCTCGAAGTTGTGATAAGGCGCTGTATTGAATGCAAGGATTATTATTATTACATTCACTTTATTAATGAGGTACTGGTTCTATTTATTAAGAGAGTGGACATGTGCCTGAGTGGTGAGACACACTTCCTTCTCAACATGTTGTTCTTCCAACATTTCTAGTTGTGTTAATTATAGATTAATAATCTATAAATGCAATCTTGTTGTTGTTGTTGCAGCCAGTCTCTGCTTTCTGAATTCCCGGTTGAGCGTGGGTTGTAAGACGTGTTTATGTAATTCTTCTTCAGCGATTGATTTACGGAGACTGTGCTGTTACTTGCATTTATGTGGCAGCTTTCACGTCAGGAAGACCTCCCAAGCACTGGGTAGTCCAGAGTTTGCACTCAAGCTGAAGTGGGGTGTTGGGGGTGAGAGGGGAAAAGATGGCCAATAGCTTGGTCAACAAAAAGGTCTTGAGGAGGACCCTGAAGGAGGCGAGGGATGGAGTGAGTCAAAGGGACTCGAGGATGGAGTTCCAGAGCGTGGGGGTAGATAAGCTGAAAGCCTGATGGGCGATGGTGAGGTGGGAATGCTGAGCAGAGGGAACAGCTGGGTTGGCAGGGTTGGAGAAGTCGCAGAGGTAGGAAAGATTTCATGGTTAGGACGAGAATCTTGAACTCTATCTTCTGGGGGATGGGGCACCAGTGGTCCCAGGAGAGGGTGGGGGTGACAGTGTCCACAGTACTCCAGGGTTCTCCAGGGCATTGTTGATGACAAACCATCAAACCCGTTACCAGAGGTGTGAGAGGAGCAGCGGAAATTGAAGGAAGAGTTGAGTTTTTGCTTGAATTATTTGGGGATGTTGAAGCCACCATCACTCATAACTAATCAAATTTCAACAAATATTCTTTTGAGAGATCCATATCATTCCGAAAACCGGGAGGAATTGTATTTAGAAAGCCAGTGAAGCGATTCTGAAGTGGATTCAGACCCCTGTACACGTCCAGATCTTCGTATCTTAGTCTCAGAGTAGCTAGTTCCTCTCTCCCATTCAGTCCTGAAAATATTGTGGCAATATCTCGTCTGTCCCTGGAGTGTGAGGTGGAATCTTGCAGGGACGGTTTCCCAGATAAGTTCCTTCATCTCCTGAGCTTCTGGGGGCAATAGCACATCTTTGTTTCATTTTATTGGCTTCCTTACTGAGCTTCATTACCAGTTCTGGCCAGGCTCCACTAGCTTCCCATCACTGAATGGATCGACTTCAAGATCCTCATACTCGTTTTCAAATCCCTTCATGCCCTGGCATGTCCCTACCTCTCCGACCCACTACCTCCACTCGACTGGCTCCGTCCTTCTGCACGTCCCTCATGCCCTCCGTTCCACCATTCAGCCACTATGCCCCAAGGCACTGGAACTGCCTTCCTCACTCCCTTCGCCTCGCTCCCTGTCTTCCTATTTTCAGGTCTCTGCTGAAGACCTTTCTTTTCGACCGTGCCTTTGGTCAACTTGTCCCCCTGCCCCAGTCCCAGGATCTGTTACTATAAAGTGCTCTGAGATGCCGTCCAGCGTGGAGGGCGCTATATAAATCCAAGTTGTTGTTGGTGGTGGCCACGCTCCTTCCCCACAGCTCGGCTTTGTGCTCTGCCACCATAATAATCCTTGCATTTGATATAGCACTTTTCACGTCGGGAGGACGTCCCAAAGCGCTTCACAGAACACACTGTAAAGTGAATTGACTGTATATTTGTGGGCGAACGCGGCAGCCAATTGCGCACAGCAATGTCCCACAAACAGTCGTAGATTAAAAATGACCAATTTATTATTGTTTGGGATTTTGGAGGGATTATTATTAGGCTCTGTGCGGAGTAAGGAAACTTGCCCAAGGTTTCGCCCTCTGCCTGGAATTGAACTCAGGTCTCTCGCTTGCAAAGCGAGTGCTCCAACCACTGAGCTACAGGACTCCACCATCAAGTGGTTTGGGACTCTGCCCGTTCTGTACTCCAGTATCAGAGGCCCAACAGGTGGGGGTAAAGTTTAGTGGGGCTGTATTTGTGCTCAGGAGTCCACATTCTCCGTTAAAGCCAGAGCTGCTGAGAGTCTCTCCGGGACTTCAATCACTGCCGAGCTTATAGAATCATAGAATATCACAGCACAGAAGGAGGCCATTCGGCCCATCGTGCCTGTGGCGGCTGTTTGGAAGAGCCACCCAATCAGTCCCACTCCCCCGCTCTTTCCCCAAATCCTTGCAAGTTTTTCCTCTTCAAGTTCCTATCCAATTCCCTTTTGAAAGTTGGTATTGAATCTGTTTCCACCCTTTCAGGCAGCGCATTCTAGGCAAGTCATAACAGAGGGCAAGTCATTAGTGTATGAGTTCTAGGTAGTGTATGAGTAGTTAATGTGCACAGTTAGTGGACTGAAATTTATTACCTAAATTTATTTAGGCAAACGGCAACTCAGGAAATTCATTATTTTTCTAAAAAAAACATGTGGGCTATATTTGTACTTTCCTTTGTTAAACTGTGTGTGCAGGACACTATATAAATGCAAGTTTTGTTGTTGTAACGGAACATACACACGAGCTACCAGAATATCACACCGCTGACATTATTACTAACGTTCCATCATTCAGAAGCGTTGCATCAAACTGTAATGAGCTTTCATGAAAGAAAACACTAACTTGCTGACTGTTTGCAATATCCTGCACTATAATCTCCAACATGTAGGGTGTTACAATATTAAAACGGTTTTAAAAAAAAACTTGCCTGCCTGAAGATATTTGAGATTTAATGATTCCTTTTCCCACAGTACTGTGGTTCCCACTGAAACACCTTTTAACCATGTCACTGAAGCCTGTTAATAGTGATATCCTAATGGAAATTGAATACCAATTTCAGACCATTTATGAGATTGCTTCAATTAAACAAAACTCATCAGTACTGATTTAGTCATTGAGAATCAATTGGTGCTGAAGTAAAATGTCTTCCATAAAGAAATGTCCTCATTAAATCCATTTCAGTTTCAGATTTATATCTCATTACAAGTGTTTTATTGATAATTACATTGCTATTAGTTAGAATACATTATGATTGTTCTCTTGGAAGCGTTACCTTATTCTCAGTATGCGATTGACTGGTGTAATGAGGCTTGCTGACAACAGTGATGCTGCTCAGCAGTGCACAATCCCACAAATTGATAACTAGCCACTTGTTAACTGAGGACAATTATAATCTGGTATCTGGCTCATTTCATCCCTAGCTGGAAAGAATCACAGTGATGTCAAAATTCTATTGAAAACTGCAAACATTCACCATGAGGAGATCAGTTAAGGACATTTCTTACGACCAGACAGTATCAGCTGATAATGGAATAAGAATGAAGGCCACTGTGTTCTCAGTGAGTGAGTCTGCAGACAACATGAACTGCTGAACTTACAATCAACAATTAATTTGGTACGTCAATGGACAGAATTAAAGAGACAAGTGAATAACTGGAGAGCTAGGGAGATATTCCAATGAAGACTGATATCCTCACACGTGCCCAGATGATGGACAGGATAATTATAATAATCCTTGCATTTCAGGTAGCGTCTTATCACATTGAAACATCTCGCAGAGTTTTCGCATACTCTTGTCAAGTGTAGTGATTGTATTTGTAGGTGAACACAGCAGCTAATTTGCCCACAGCGACTCAATTAGCATTTTTTTTAAAATCTGGGGAATTATTGGCCCTTCTCCTTTTGAATAGCTCCATGGGATTTTTCACATCCACCTGAACAAGCAGACGGGACCACAGTTCAACTCCTCATCTGAAAGAAGGACCTTCTGACAATGCGACCCCACCACCCCAGTCTCAAAGTTCCAATGTGAGACTCAAACCTACAATCTTCTGGACTGGGTCAGGGTGACACCTAAGTTTTCACCTGCTGTTTACGCTAAAAATTGGACTAATGCATCAGCAGGTTGCAGGGAAAACATGACACCATGAGCAGGCATGATTAACAGTGAATCTTATGGTGTT